TTTTTTCTCTGTTCCTCTATTTGTTTGTTGGTTTGTCTATTCGCTTATTTTCTTCACGTTGCTCTCCCCTTTTCTCCTCTTCTTTCGTCTCTTCTCCCTCTTTCTATATCTCTTTCTGCCTCCCCCCTCTCCCTCTCTGCCTCTCCATCCCTCTCTCCCTCCTTCTCTGCCTCCCTCCATCCCTCCTCCCTCTTCTCTGCCTCCCTCCATCCCTCTCTCACTCCTTCTCTGCCTCCTCCCACACTCCCTTCTCTCTTCCTCCATACCTCCCTACCTCTTTCCCTCCTCCCTTCCCATCCCCCTCCTCTCTGCCTCACCCTCTCTTCCTCTCTCCCTCCCTCCTCCCCTCTCTACCCTCCTCTCTTCCCCACCCCTCCCTCTCTCTCCCTCCCTCTCTCTTCCATCCCCTCCCTTCCTTCCACCCTCTCTTCCTCTCTGCCCTCTCTCTACCCTCCTCTCTCTCTCCCTCCCTCCCTCTGCTACCTCCCTCTCTCTACCCCCTCTCTTCCTCCTCCCTCCTCCCTCTCCCCCTCCCCTCCCTCCCTCTCTACCCTCCTCTCTTCCCACCCCTCCCTCTCTCTTCTCTTCCCCCTCCCTCTCTCTGCCCTCCTCTCTCCCTCCTCTCCCTCCTCTCTCTCTCTCTCCCTCCTCCTTCCCCTCCCTCCCTCTCTCCTCCCTCTCTCTGTACCCTCTCCTCCCCTCTCCCTCCCTCTCTCTACCCTCCTCTCTCTCTCTCCCTCCCTCCCTCCTCCTCCTCTCCTCCCTCCTCTCTCTCCCCTCCCACTTCCCTCCCCCTCCCTCTCTCTACCCTCCTATCTTCCCCCTCCTCCCCCTCCTCTCTGCCTCTTCTGTACCCTCCCTCTCTCTACCCTCTTCTCTCTCTCCTCCCTCTCTCTCTCTACCCTCCTCTCCGCCTCCCCCCCTCCCCACTTCCGGCAGCGCTGTTCGACCTTGCTTGGCGATGCAGAAGCAAGCACAGGAAAAACGATCGCTAGCTTTTGCATTTATTCATTTGTTTGTATTTATTATCTTCTTTCTCTCTTTCTTTTGCTTTTTTTTTTTCTTTTTTTTTTGGGGGGGGGTGAGGCGGGAGGGGGAGGCTGAAGATAAGTGTTTTTTTTCTTTCTTTTTTTTCTTTTTTTTTGAAGTTTTTTTGATGAATTTTATCGAATTTGCTCTCCGGATCTCCCTCTCTCCCTCCTTCTCTCTCTCACTCTCTCACTCCCTCACTCCCACGTGTTCTTCCCTCCTTCCCTCCCTCACTCTGTCTCTCTTCCCTTCCTTCCCTCCCTCACTCCCACGTGTTCTTCCTTTGTACTTCAGTCTGTTCTATCTGTCCATCCATCTTTTCAACCGTTCACATCCATCCACCCATCCATCCCAATATTCTTTGACACACCCGTCCACATCCATCCATTCCACCATCCATCCATATACCACCATCCATCCATATACCACCCCCACCATCCATCCATCATCCATCATCCATCCATCCATCCATCCATCCATCCATCCATATACCCTCCACCCATCCATCCATCCATCCATCCATCCATCATCCATATACCCACCCATCCTTCAATCCATCCTTCCATCCAAACACCCAGTCACACATATCACCCATCCATCCATCCGCTCACCAAATATCCATTCCATCCATCGTCCACCACATATCCACCGCACCCAGTCACCCATCCTTTTCAATCGTCCATCCATCCATCCACCCACCCAACACCCATCCATCCATCCATCCACCCGCCCACCCAACACCCACACAACTTTCCATCCATCCATCATCATCCATCCATCATCCATCACACATAACCCTTCCATCCACCCACCCACACACCTTTCATCCATCCTCCATCCATACATCCATCCATCCCCACCCACCCACCTACCCACTCATCCTTCACCCATCCATTCATCCACCCACCCACTCACCCACCACAACCTTTCCATCCATCCACCCACCATCCACCCACCCACCCACCCACCCCATCCACACCATCATCCATCCATCCACACCACCCACCTACCCACCCACCACCACTCATCCATCCACCCACTCACCCTCCATCCTCTCACCCTTCACCCCCCCCTGTCCCCTCACCCTTCCACCCCCCCCCCCTGTCCCCTCCCTCATCCACCCCCACCCCACCACCCCTGTCCCTCCCTCATCCACCTGCGTCCCCGCGCTTCTCGCCCCGACGTCCCAGACCCCAGGATCCGCGCCGAGTGAATGGCCGGGCGAGTCATCCCGGGTCCAGAGGGAGCCCCGTGCCGCGTGCCAAATAAGGGCAGAGGCGTCGCCCACTCTTCTACGGTTACCTGCGGCGCCCGTGGGACAGGTGTGCTTCCCGCCCGCCCGCCCGCCCACACCGCCCGTCCGCAGCCTGAACGGGGCTTCTGATGATGTGCTTCTCTCGCTTCTTTTTTCTTGTCTTTCTCTTTCTTTTGCTTCGTCTTCTCTCTTTCTTTTGCTTCGTCTCCTGTTTTTCGTTCTGTCGTGTCTTCTGTTTAACGGTTACGGTGCGATATAATATTATTATATGAACATACGCACGGTTATGTATATGATATAGATAGATAGATTTTCTCGAAAGTGTTAATGATCTTAAAAGTTCTTCATATTATCCTGCAGAAGTAATGTCACGTGCACGTTGGCTATACTGAGCAATCGCAGGGGTAAATTACAGGTTTAATTACAGTATATCTCCTCTTAACACCATTATGATGGACACGCCTATTAAATAGCGAATTCCATTTCGTTAATTGAGTGCTGTCCCTCTCTGGTCCATGGTAAATGGAGAAGTAAATTATATGTGTATTTATATGTTAATATACATATGTATGTATGTATATGTATATCTTCCTCCTTTCATTCTTTCTTTGTTTCTTTCTTTTTCTTCATGTTATGAAATCCTTCTCGCATTTTTATTAAACAACTGTAACGATGCTCATTTCTTTTCCAGCTTATAACAAATATATGATAACAAATACTATCATGAATTTCAAAACATTTTTATCCTATATTTTTCCCAACCTGTAAGAAGTATAATTAATTTGAATTACAAATTCAAACTCATTCCCCTTATTTTCCGAGCCTTAAAAAATCGCTAACTTTAGAACAAAAAATCTTAACCCAGTTTGCAAACAAATCCAATTGTAAATTGAAAAACGTTTCTCCACAATTTTCCGAACCTGAATTTCCAATAAAAGTAATAAAATAGAGTGAAATTAAATAAATAATATCACTCCTTACCTAGCCTGATAACAAATTAAATCACATTTAAAGAGCAATTTTCCCGCGCTTTTCCTGGCCTTGTCACACTACAAATATAAATATTTTCCCTTTAAAGAAATTTCATCACAAACATTGAATAAAAAAAATTCCTCTATTTTCCCAGCCTGTGAACAAACCCCATAAACTGACAATAAACAAATTTCATTTATTAGATTATGTTAAAACCTATTAAAACTAATTTTCTCTTTACCCAAATCCCACCACAACCATTTATAAGCCCCCTCCCTGTTTCCAGCCTGTAAACAAATCTGTAAATATTAAAGATTTATTATTATTATTATTATTGTATTAACACAAACATTAAAACCAATTTCCAGCCTGCAACCAACCTTAACAACATTGCAAAACCTTTTTTTTACCTTAACATCGCAAAACCATTTTTTTAACCTCAACAACATCGCAAATCCATCTTTATTAGCCTCAACAACCTCGCCAAACCATCTTATTTAACTTTAGTATCGCCAAACCATCCTTTTTAACCTAAACAACAGCGCCAAACCATCTTTATTAGCCTCAACAACCTCGCCAAACCATCTTTTTTTTCATCAAACCCCTCCCTCTCTCTCTCTTCCCAGCCTGTAACCAACACCTCACAACATCGCAAATCCATCTTAATTAGCCTCAACAACCTCGCCAAACCATCTTATTTAACTTTACTATTAACTCAACAACATCGCCAAACCATCATTTTTTTCATCAACAACCTCGCCTAAACATCATATTTTAACCTCAACAACCTCGCCAAACCATCCTTTTTTCATCAAACCCCTCCCTCTCTCTCTCTCTTCCCAGCCTGTAACCAACACCTCACAACATCGCAAATCCATCTTAATTAGCCTCAACAACCTCGCCAAACCATCCTATTTTAACCTTAGTATCGCCAAACCATCCTTTTTAACCTAAACAACAGCGCCAAACCATCTTTATTAGCCTCAACAACCTCGCCAAACCATCCTATTTTAACCTCAACAACCTCGCAAAACCATCTTTTTTTAACCTCAACAACCTCGCAAAACCATCTTTTTTTTTAACCAAACCCCTCCCTCTCTCTCTTCCTTCCCAGCCTGCAACTGCAACGGCTACTCCAACCGCTGCTACTTCGACCAGGACCTGTACGACCAGACGGGTCACGGAGGTCACTGCCTGGACTGCGCCGCCAACCGCGCGGGACCCAACTGCGAGCGCTGCCGTGACAACTACTACGAGAGAGAAGATGGCGTCTGCATCCCGTGCAACTGCAACGAGATCGGTGGGTGGTTGGAGGTCTTGTCCTTTGGGGCTGGCGTCACGTGTTGTTAGTTGTTGTGATAGTGGTAGCATTGTTTTTTTTATTATTGCAGTTATTATGGTTATTAATTTTCTTCTTCCAATTGTTATTGTTATTATTATTATTACATTGCTCTTATTATTATTATAATTAGTATTAGTAATACCAGTAGTAGCAATTATTATTATTATTTTTATATTGCTCTATTATTATTATTAGTAGTAGTAGTAATAGTTGTATAAATATTATTATTACACACGTGTACACACGTGCACGCGCACACGCGCACGCACACACACACACGCACACATACGCACATGCACACGCACGCCACATGCACATGCACACGCACACGCACACACACACACACACACACACACACACACACACACACACACACACACACACACACACACACACACACACACACACACACACACACACACACACACACTCCCTCACCTCACTCACTCACTCACTCTTCCTCATTTTTTGTCTCCACATAAAACTCGCATTAAAATTATCGAAATTCAATCAATACATAATAGATTTAGCCTTCTAAGATCTCCCGCTTCCTTTTCAGGTTCGCGCAGTCTGCAGTGTGCGAGTGACGGCCTGTGTCAGTGCAAGCCGGGAGTGACAGGAGAAAAGTGTGACAAATGCGCTGACAACTATTTCGATTTTGGACCCCAGGTTGGCTGTTACTCGGTGTTTTGATTCACTCGCATATTCATCAATTTCTTTCTTGGTCTCTCTCTCTCCTCTCTCTCTCTCTCTCTCTCTCTCTCTCTCTCTTCTCTCTCTCTCTCTCTCTCTCCTCTCCTCTCCGTCTCTCTCTCTCTCTCTCTCTCTCTCTCTCTCTCTCTCTCTCTCCCTCTCCCTCTCCTCTCTCCTCTCCCTCTCCCTCTCCCTCTCTCCCCTCCCCCCCCCTCCCCCCTCCCCCTTCCTCCCTCTCCTCTCTCTAACTCTCTCTCTCTCTCTCCTCTCTCTCTCTCTCTCTCTCTCTCTCTCTCTCTCTCTCTCTCTCTCTCTCTCTCTCCTCTCCTTCTCTCTCTCTCTCTCTCTCTCTCTCTCCCTCTCTCTCTCTCTCTCCCTCTCTCTCTCTTCCTCTCTCTCTCTCTCCTCTCCTCTCCTCTCTCTCTCTCTCTCTCTCTCTCCTTCTCTCTTCGTCTCTCCTCTCTACCGTCCCCTCTCTCGTCTCTCTCTCTCCTCTGCTCTCTGCTCTCTCTCTCGCCATCCTTCCCATCTCCCCCCTCCTTACACGCTCTGCCACCCTCTCTTACCCGTCTCCCCCTCCTTCCTTCGCCGCCGCTAGCCTGCCGTCTCCCCCTGCCTTGCCTCTCTGGCTCCCGCTACCTTCCCGTCTCACACCTTCCATTCGGCCTCTCCCCGCTCCTTCCCATCGCTCACTACCTCCGTTTCTTCGACTTCCCTTCTAGCCCCTCCTTCCCTCTCTCTCTCTTCTTCTCTCTCGACGTCTCTCATCGTCTCTATCCACTGTCTCTCGAAGGGAAATCATCTGGCGTCATCCTATTTCCAGATCGATCGTCTCGGCTTCTCATCATCAGGTCTCCAGTCTCTCTCATCATTCTCTCTCCTCTCTTCTCTCGGTCCTTCCCTCCCAATTCATCATCGTTCTCCTTCCCTCTTCCTCCTCCCCTCTCTCGCTTCTCTCCCTCCTCCCTTCCCTTTCCTCTTCCCTCTTTCGCCTCCTTCCTCCTTTCCTCCTTCCGCGTCATCTCCATCCCCTCCTTACACTGCCTTCCCCGCCCTCCTCAGTCTCTCTCTCTAAAAACTGCTCCCTTCTTCGTCTGCTCAGATCTATCTCTCTCCGCTTCCCTCTCCTCATCTCTGCTCTTCTCTGCTCTGCTCCACATCAGCTCTGCGTCTTCAATCCTCTCTGCTCGTTCGTCTCATCTCAACTTCTCCTCTCTCTCCTGCTCTCTCTCGTCTTCTCATTCTGTCTTTCTCTCTCTCATCTCTCATCTCTCTCTCTCCTCTCGTCCCTCCCTCCTCCCTCCCTCCCCTTTCCTCTCCCTCCCTCCCCCCTCCCTTTCCTTCCCTCTCCCTCCCCTCCCCCTCTCCCTCCCCTCCCCTCCTTCTCTCTCCTCTTTTCTTGCTCACAATCCTCCACCTCTCTCTCAGATCATCTCTGACTCGGACAAGAATGCTAGTAAAATACACACTGTATATACCATACCTGTATATATGCATCTGTACTTTTCTTCTAATTATATTACAGTGATGCATTTTTTTTACAGGATAGAGTGTTTGGATTGGAGGTCAGGTGCATGAGAGTGATTTGATTTGACTTATGTGCTTTTTATTGATGAAAATTCACTTTAATTCATTTACAGAATGCAATGAAGTTGGTTTTCTTTTTTTAGGGGGAAGGGTAAATTGTGTACCATATTAGATGGAGGGGAGATTCAGATACAAAAAGTTATATTTTTTATTTCATTGTTTTGCTTTAGATGTCTTTTTCCTATTGAATATTTTAATGTTTGATTCTAGTGACAGGATTATTAGTTATTTTGTAGCTATTTTTTTAAGGACTTTTTTTTTTTAGCAGAGGTCATGTGGAATCTTTAAAAAAAAAAAAAATTTTGAATCTTTTAAATGTTTTTTTTTTGTGTGTGTGTGTGATTCCTTTTTTTGTTTGTGTGTTTTTAATGCTTTATTTTGCGAGTGCATCTTGGCATTCTTTTGAACTTGTTAGGCCATGAAATATATTCACATGTTGCTCAGATCAGATCAGAACAATTTTAGATTTTTTAAAGCACGGAGAAAACAATTGTTGAAGTCAGTCATGTAAATAATTGTTCCATCAAACAAATTTTGATAACTTTTTTAAACATTAACAGTTGGTATAAATCAAACATCAACCAACAGGGTTGCAAGCCATGCGGATGTAATGTAGCTGGTA